GGGTCAGAGGGAGAAGCAGACTCCCTGCCGTGCAGGGAGCCCGATGCGGGACTCGATCCAGGGACTCCAGGATCATGACCTGAGCCGAAGGCAGTGGCTTAACCAACTGAGCCACCCAGGCACCCAATTGTGTTTAACTTTTTAAGAAACTGCCAAACTGGGGCGCCTTGGTGGCTCAGACAGTTAAGCGTCTGCCTTCGGCTCAGGTCATGATCTCAGGGTCCTGGGATCGAGCCCTGAGTCAGGCTCCCTGCTTAGCGGGGAGGCAGCTTCTCCCTCTCTGTCCGCCCCTCCCCCCTCTCTCAAATAAATAAATAAAAATCGTTAAAAAAATGATGTCTTGGGGCATCTGAGTGGCTCAGTTAGTTAAGCGTCTGCCTTCAGCTCAGGTCATGATCCCAGGGTACTGGGATCGAGCCCTGCATCGGGTTCTCTGCTCAGCGGGGAGTCTGCTTCTCCCTCTGCCCCCCCAACTTGTGCTCGCTTTCTCTCTCTTTCTCTCTCGCTCCATCTCAAATAAATAAAATCTTTAAAAAAATGATGCCTTTATCATGTACCAAATTTTCACATAGATTTGGATCTGTTACGTTTCTTTTTTTTTCCTATTAGCCTGCCTATTTATTTATGTGCCATTACTACACCTTAATTACAGAGGCATTTTTTGATATGTTTTAGGAGATGGTAGAGGTAGCTTACCCCTCATTCTCTTTTAAGATAAACTTTTTTTTTTAAGTTTGGTTGACACACAATGTTATGTTGGTTTCAGGTGTACAACATAGTGATTCCACAAGTCTGTACTTTATCCTATGCTAAACACAAGTGTAGCTACCATCCATCACCATACAATGCTATAGTACCATTGACTATATTCCCTATGCTGTTCCTCTTATTCCCCTGACATTTTCATTCCATAACTGGAAGCCTGTATCTCCCATTCCCCATACCCATTTTGCCCATCTCCCCATTCCCCTCCCTTCTGGCAACCATCAGTTTGTTCTCTGTATTTATGGGTCTTTTTCTGCTTCTTGTTTGTTTATTCATTTGTTTTTTAGAGTCCATATATACGTGAAATCATGTGGTATTTGTCTCTCGGTCTTATTTATTTCACTTAGCATAATACTCTCTAGGTCCACCCATGTTGTTGGCAGATGGCGAGATCTCATTCTTTTTTATGGCTGAGTAATACACAAATAAAGGTTCTAATCAAACTAGTACCAGAAAAAAAAAGTCCTCAGAGTATTTTTATTGGGATTATGTTAAATATGTAAATTAACTTAGAATAAACATTTTTATGATGTTGAGTCTTTTCTGAGGAAATATGATGTCTTTGAATGTGTATGAATCCCTTTTGAAGGAAAAATATTTCAGATGCCAAGTATTGGCCTAAGTTATATCTAATGTAATGTCAATTATGTACAAAATAAAACTACGGATAAATTCTTTATGTATAAGTAAATACCATATTACTCTTATATAATTAAAAAAATCAATAGATAATACTATTTAAATACAGTTGGACCTACAAAACTCCCCAAATTCAAATTAGCAGTATTACATTAATGTGAAATAATCGTATTTGCTGTTAACAATTTACTGTGCTCTAAGCCAAAAGGATATTTATTATTAATAGGAAATTCCAGAGTTGATTTAGTCATGCAACTATATCATTAAGGACCCCGTGCATCCTTAATTTTGCCATCCTTAGAAATGTTGGATTTTCCTTTTCTTGCTTGTCATCTTTTGGTTGTAAGATGGCTGCTGCAACTCTACTTTCATCTTATCTTTATTCCATTTTTCCACATAACAAAGGAAGGAACAGAAGCAAAGGCCTCTTCCTAGCTAGGCTTGTCTTTTTTTTACTTTCGTTTCTGGAAAGGGAAATTCCCCAGCCAATTTTTCCCTTAAGTTTCATTGTCCAGAACTGGTTTACATTTGCATCCTAAGACCAATCACTGGCAGTAGGGAATGGAATTACTATGACCAGTTTAGACCAATTCTCATTCATTCCCTTGGGCTGGAGGAAGGATAACAAGGTATCTCCACTAGCTACTAAAACAATCTGAAATTCTGCTAGGAAATAGAGAGTGGTGAGAAGTGGAGAGGAATGTCTAGAGTAGACAGTAAAGGGCATGTAATCCAAGGCCTGATGTTAGCAAGTGGGGGAGACTGATCTTTTGACTGCACATTCTCTACTGTTTTCACTGCAGCACAGGTATAGAAGTAATCGATCTCTTTCTCTCCCCCTTTTCTCCCTTTCCATCTTGTGCCAGGTTTGAGCCCCTTGATCTGAGCACTTCTGAGTAAATGTCCCTTTTTCCATTGTTGCTAGGCTTATTTTATTTTTTTTTTAAATGTTTTTATTTTTATTTATTCATGAAAGTCAGAGAGAGAGAGAGAGGCAGAGGCAGAGGGAGAAGCAGGCTCCCCGCCTAGCAGGGAGCCCGATG